TTACAATATATATTTTTTTACAGTTCGGATCTTTTTATAGATCGGATCTCATCGCGAAACAGGATAGATGAGTTATTAATAATATCAGCTTTTGATTTAAACAAATCAAGTTATTGAGATGAAAAATTTAAGTCCTCAGAGAGATGGCACAGACCCCGTGGTCAAAAATTACAAAACCAAGTGTCTCGTAGTACTAATTTTTTGAGAGGATTTCATAGAAAATACATATATTAAAATGATAAACCAATAGTGGGATTCTCTCACATATTTTTGAGTTAGCGACAAATATTGGTAAAATTAAAACTAAAAATTATGAATGAAAAATCGAATTTAAAGTTGACAACACTGTTGATAAGGGTAGGACTTAACGACGAAATTATTCAATTAACTAATTAATTTCTGAAATTAAAAGCATTTTAATTTTATCGATTTTTGCCGATAGCTCATGAAAAATGAGAATGAGGACCACATTCCTCCGAAAAACTCACTTAAATTTGTGCAAAGAGAGGAACTCACTCGAATTAAAGCGAGAGCACTCCTGGGGGCAGTAAAGAAGTAATACAAACTCAATTTGTCGATGTCGCTCTAATAGGAGTGAGCATATTTTCCTCGTTTTTGAGTGGGAGCAAAAGTTGTTCAAAACTGCTCTTGGCGAGCATTTCTTCAGGGAGATACCGAATATAGGGAGGTATCGTTATCTGGGTGCTATACGAAAAAGGGACCTACTTTTTCAGTATTTGGTCCTCGACAGTACTCCTTCTATTTTTGGCCACCTTTAATATGAACTCACGACATAGTGAGGTGTTGTCCCTTAATTTCTCATTATACCCTCAGCCTCGTAGCTATAGAGGATTATTTCATTTCATATGGCCAAAAAGAGCCTCATCGAAATAACTGTTTTAGACAAGGTCTCGTTTGGACCAAATGCATTTCAAGACATTTGGAGTCGATCTAGAGGTGTACGTCCGTCTATCCATCTATCTGTTTGGCTAGAGCGGACAATAACTTTCGTAAGGTGTATCTGATGTGGTCTAAACTTGGTACATCGTAATATTATTATCAAACATAAATCGAGTTCGGAGATGGACAATATCGATCAAATCCTTTTAGTACCTCCCCCAAAAAAGTCCAAAAAAGGATCATCCGATTTTGTTCAAACTTTTCAAATCCTAATACTTGTATCTGTGCTAGGTCAGGTGTAAAAATTGACAATAAATTTCACTCCTTCTAGTACTACTCCCCCACAAAGGCTCAAAATGTTGAATAATCTCAACGCTTATAAAATGTGAAATAAGAGCCCAATTGTATTTAAATTTCGCATACCGCAGTATTTCTAACAACTCTAGGTTTGCTATGAAGATTGGATAGGTGGGACCTCCCCTCCTGTACCTCTCCCACAAAGTGTCAAAAATTTTAATAACCATTAAGCTTATAAAATGCGAAATGAGCATCAGATTCCTTTCGAACTCGGTTCCTATCAACACAAGATGAGGTGTAAAGATTTAATTTATCGGACTGCTTCCTTTGGTACCTTCCCCACAATGGTTAAAATTTTTGTATATTTATACCTTTCATAAAAGAGGAAATAAGCATCTGATTTTTTTTTCCAAATTTCACACCTGCCAACATTTCTTTCAAAACAAGATCTGATGCGACGCAGATATATATCGACCCACTCTTATTCTAACCTCTCACAAACGGTCACAATTTTCAATTCTTACATCGCTCATAACATGATAAACAAGTCAGCGATTCTTTTCAAACTCGGTCTACATAAATTTTTTCTTTCAACCACAGATCTGATGTGAATATGGAATGTATCGGCCAACTCTGGTACCTCCCCACAAAATATTGACCAACTTGTTCGGAACATCCACCATAAAAGGGTCAAAAGTTTGAATAATTATGCAAGTAAAAATATATTTTAATAAGCGGACATTGGCTGAGGGAATAGATCTGTCATAAGAATCGTCATAAGTTGTTGGGTAACACATAATCAGCTCCGCTCAGCTATAGCCTTTGCTTACTTCTTTCTTCAAAACTATCCTAATGAAAGAATAAGAAATTAAACCAAGTTACAGAAAGGACCTTGGATGTTAAAAATAAATTCTCTCTATATAATAAACATTTGGTGGTGGCGCGGTGTAGGATATTTTCCAGTCGACTAGGCCGACCTCGTTTTCTTGGTTTAATTTCAAATGTTATGCTAAAAAATATCTAAAACTTCACCTGAATTTGTCAGCATTCCATTGTATGTTTTGTTTGCGTGTGGGTGTGCTTCTTGTATATGTATTCACGACGTTTTGTCTTCGTATTTCTTCTCTCTCTCTCTCTCTTCTCAAATTTTCATTTAAAGCCTGACTATTCAGTCACATGATCTCGATCTTCAGTATTGGCCTCATTGGTATGATCTTCTTGTTTTCTAGTTGTTGTTGTCAAATCTTGTTGTAGATTTTCCCGATATGCATCACAGCTACCACACAAAGCGTCAGCTTCATGATCACGATTGTGATCATCGTCGTCGTCATCATCATCCTCCATGTTGCCTGCATCATTCACCAATGTCACCTTGGGTTGAAAATTCGCATAACACATGTGCTGAGGTGAGATCGTGCTGTGTTGGGTTTGTTGATGCTGTTGCATAGGCGGCAGTGTTTGTGTTGTAGGAATTGCCATTTTACCAGGGCTGCTGGTGCCATTTTTCTGGGCATCTATGTCACCACCTCCACAACCAATTGTGTGCATTGTGTGATCCCCATTTAGACCACTGCCTGGTGGCATTTGAGTATTTACCACACTAACCGTTGGCGGGACATTCAACATTGTTCGAATATTTGAACGATGCCGCAGGCCCTGATGTAGGTGTTGCTGTTGATGTTCGATATTTTCTTTGTGTTCCATTAGGGGGGTTTGGTGATGGTCCTTTTGTTCTGTATTCGGGGGAAGAGAATATTTGAATGTTTTATTTTTGCAATGAGTGATGAGGTGAGGGAAGAGAAAGTTATGATTGGGAGATTCTACAAATTCAATAAAGCTAAATGCCTTTAAGGAGAAACTAAGAATAGGAATATAAAAATTATATTGAGAAATGTATATCAGAAGGCATGAATGTATAATCTTAATATCCAATTTCCCGGTCCTCGAAAAAAGTCAAATATTTTGTTTCATGGATGTATAGTGTCGATAGAAATGATGGCAATGATTTTGAAATTGCTGGTGTATATTGCAGCGGATAATCGACATAAAAATACTTTAATTATGGCATACTTTTAGGCTTGAAAAGGAATTAACAAAATTGAGGGCATAGAAAGACCAGAGCTAAATCCAGTCTCTTTTAAAATCGCACCTCCCCAATTCTCCTAACCAACATTCCCTTCAATGCAAAAATACCCTCCATGATTACTTACCCAATGATGCAAGCAATTTCGGTTGCAGTGGCATTAGATAATCACTGCCGGTGGTGGCTGCCCTCGGCTGTAGGCTCTGCATTGCTGGTACGCTTAAAAAGTCCGCTGGGGAGAAATTAAAAAGCGATTAGGCCAAACACTAAATTAAGCGAAAGTGTATTTTGCAAAAGTGGACGACAATAACTGGATTATTCAAAACGATATTAAAAGTCCATTTAAGAGTCATTTTGGGGATACCATATTCTTTTGTTTGTTTTTTTTTTTCGGTTTTATTCGTACAACACATTAAAATGTATGCATGTATGTAGGTAGGTAGGTAGGTATCATGTTCTGAGTTCAACTGGGTGTTGTGTGTGTACGCATTATGCTGTTGGCTGACTTTTCATTCTGTAGTTAGTTATGAGGGTGTTTGGTTAGCAACAAAACGCATCCAAGCAAAACAATTATGGAAATTTGTTGTAATGGACTTGTTGAATATACACTTACATTTACATATGTTTTGCATATATACACACATGTATTTATGTAGGGGTTTTTTTTGTCGTATATGTATGTACATTAGAATGAAATGAAAAGCACACATTTTTAACTTGGTTTTTGGTGGCAAGGAAGGGAGATGCAGTGCATCAATGTCCATTAAAAGCTTCTAAAAATGTTGAATTGTTCTAATTTTTTTTTTGGGTAATAACTGATCTTTTTGCATGTATCCAGAAAAATATTTCCGATGAGATTTCTACTATAGAAAAATCTGACTGATGTTTTTTTTCTTTACAAAAATATCATAGTTGATAAGTTTTCTATAGAAAAAGAAAAGTCAATTTGACAATTTTGCTATAGAAAAATTTGACTGCTGATAAGTTCTATAGAAAACTATCATTAATAATAACTTTTTTTTTCAAAAATATCATTGATTATATTTTTTCTATTTAAAAATATATCACTAATTATAATTTTTCTATTGAGAAATATATCACTAATGACAATTTCTCCATAGAAAAATATATCACTCCTGATAATTTTTTAATTGAAAAATATACCACTGATGATAATTTTTCAATGGAAAAATATATCACAGATGATAATTTTTCTATGGAAAAATATATCATTGGTGAGAATTTTTCTATGGAAAAATATATCACTGGTGAGAATTTTTCTATGGAAAATATATCCCTGATGAGAATATTAAAAATATATCACTGGTGACAATTTTTCTATTGAAAAATATATCACTGATGATAATTTTTCTATAGAAAAATATATCACTGTCGATAATTTTTCTATGGAAAAATATAAAACTGTCGATAATTTTTCTATAGAAAAATATATATCACTGTCGATAATTTTTCTATAGAAAAATATATATCACTGTCGATAATTTTTCTATAGAAAAATATATATAACTGATCATAATTTTTCTATAGAAAAATATATATCACTGATGACAATTTTTTTATAGAAAAATATATATCACTGATGATAATTTTTCTATAGAAAAATATATATCACTGATGATAATTTTTCTATAGAAAAATATATGTCACTGATAATAATATTCTATAGAAAAATATATATCACTGATGATAATTTTTCTATAGAAAAATATGTATCACTGATGATAATTTTTCTATAGGAAAATATATATCACTGATGATAATTTTTCTATAGGAAAATATATATCACTGATGATCATTTTTCTATAGAAAAATATATCACTGTCGATAATTTTTCTTTAGAAAAATATATCACTGTAGATAATTTTTCTTTAGAAAAATATATCACTGATGAGAATTTTTCTTTAGAAAAATATATCACTGATGATAAATTTTCTAAAGAAAAATATATCACTGATGATAAACTTTCTAAAGAAAAGTGTATCACTGATGAGAATTTTTCTATAGAAAAAGATATCACTGATGAGAATTTTTCTATAGAAAAATATATTACTGATGATAATTTTTCTATTGAAAAATGCCACTGATGAGAATTTTTCTATTGAAAAATGCAACTGATGAGAATTATTCTATAGAAAAATATCACTGATGAGAATTTTTCTATAGAAAATTATCAATGATTATCAATGAAAATTATCGATAGAAAAATATCAATGATGAGAATTGTATGATCAAGGTTTTGTCCATATAATACAAATATAGTGGCATAGGGCATAATTTGATCAACGAATGCGACTACGATTTAGGATTTTCGTAAAATGTTCCCAACGATATATAAATAATGGTGATTATACATATTAAATACATTTTTTTTGGTATTCTACTTACAGCTAATAACTGAGGGACCCGTTCGCAAAGGCATCGGTGATGTTTGTATCGATGTTTCGGCTGATCTAGTGCTATGCTTTACAATGCCAGCTAGAGGATTCTGTGGTCGTTCTATAATACTAACACCATTAACATTTACACCATTCATGCTCTCTGTTTGTGTTTCTAACATTGAAATCCAAAAGAAATAAAAAATAAACGGAAATCCAAAACCATATGAAACCGAAGGAGGCGGAACGAAAGGAATAGAAAACAAGAAAAATATGGAAAATGGAAAACAATAAATCAAAACATCACATCGATTACATTTCATCAACTAAATGAAAAACAACCAACATAAGGCAACACAATCAATAATAATATGAAAACAACTCATATCGCATAAAAGTTCGTAGAGGGATGGGGAAGGGTTGGGGTTGTGGGTATGGAAAACGGAAACGGAAATGTTGCAAATGAAAAATTATATAGAGCCAATAAAGCCATCATTATATAGCTTTTAAGAGCTACTACTACAATCATGATAATACACTTAGGAACTGTATACCATGTGGAAAGTGTTGAATAGTTGAGTGGAGTTGAGTTCGGTGGGGTGGGGAAAATAGTTTAATGTGATTAATCTAAAGCAATATGTCATTACCGATTTTAGCTGTGGCAAAAGCTTCCTTCAGCATTGGATTGTGATGCGGATGGGGATGCCCGGTGGCCACAACTCCCGGCGCAAGCGATGTTTGTTTGTAGGCATGTGTACGACCACCCCTTGGCTGAGGAACTGGTTCACGTTTACGTCGCGGCTGTTCTACGGGAAGAACTCTACGTCGTTGTTTGGGTAATTTTGAGCGAGCCTACAAATTGGGGAAAAAAAGTGAAATCGGTGAAAAAAATGTGGATAAATAAACATTGGTGAAATATTTTCCAATAAAAATATCATCTGTGATATATTTTTCTATAGAAAATTTATCATCAGTTATATATTTTCTATAGATAAAAAATCTTCAGTGATACATTTTTTTCGATGGAAAAATTATTTTAGTTTTTCTATAGTTATTATTGTTTTATAGAAAAATTATCACCATTGATATGTTCTTCCATAGAAAAGTTGTCATCGGTGATATATTTTTCCATAGAAAAATTTTTTTCGGTGATATATTTTTCCATAGAAAAATGTTCATCGGTGATATATTTTTTAATATAAAAATTATCATCAGTGATATATATTTCTATAGAAAAATTCTAATCAGTGATGTATTTTTCGAGAGAGAAATTATCATCAGTGATATATTTTTTTCGATAGAAAAATTATTACCTGTGATATATTTTTTCCGATAGAAAATTTATAATAAGTGATATATTTTTCAATAGAAAAATTCGCATCAGTACTATATTTTTCTATAGAAAAATTCGCATCAGTGATATATTTTTCCATAGAACAATAATCATCAGCAATATAGTTTTCTATAGAAAAATTCGCATCAGTGATATAGTTTTCTATAGAAAAATTCGCATCAGCGATATAGTTTTCTATAGAAAAATTCGCATCAGTGATATAGTTTTCTATAGAAAAATTCGCATCAGTGATATAGTTTTCTATAGAAAAATTCGCATCAGCGATATAGTTTTCTATAGAAAAATTCGCATCAGTGATATAGTTTTCTATAGAAAAATTCGCATCAGTGATATATTTTTCTATAGAAAAATTCGCATCAGTGATATATTTTTCTATAGAAAAATTATCATCAGTGATATATTTTTTGATAGAAAAATGTTCATCAGTGATATATTTTTCGATAGAAAAATTAACATCAGTGATATATTTTTCCATAGAAAATTTATCATCAGTGATTTATTTTTCTATAGAAAATTTATCATCAGTGATATATTTTTCTGTACAAAAATTCTCATCAGTGATATATTTTTCAATAGAAAAAATATCATCAGTGATATATCTTATAATACATATTAAAGTTTACTTCACTTCAATACCTCACTCACACTTTACATAATACTCCCCGTACTGTTTCCCCATGTCGCGTTGACACCACCAACTTAATTAATTTGTAATTTGTCCAATCTTACCTGTGTGTGTGAATAAAACATGGAAAAGTTGCTAACAATTACAGGTACGGGTAGAGCTATTGTCAACACACCAGCCAAAGCACATAGGGCACCCACAAACATGCCAGGATAAGTTTTAGGTGCCACATCACCATAGCCCACGGTAGTCATTGTTACAATGGCCCACCACAAACCTAAAGGGATACTTTTAAATTGATTTTCCGGATTATCCTGCAGAAATGTAAACAAGCAAACAAACGAAACGAATCGAAAATCAAAGCAAAGAAACGAAAAAAGAAAAAACAACAAACAAACACACATTACAAATATTAACTTTAATACCCAAAAATTCGCTCTAATCCTTTTGGCAGGATATGTTCACTATAACATTACCTGAAGCTTTTCCGCATAGTATGCCAGACTGGCGAAGAACACAATACCCAAAACCAAGAAAAACACCAGCAACGTCAACTCTTTGGCCGAGGCTTTGAATGTGTGTATTAGGATCCGTAAGCCGGGCGAATGGCGGGTCAATTTGAACAGACGCATAATCCGCACAATTGAGAAGGCTTCCCACAGTCCGGTGTACTCGCCCATGCGTTGCATGACATCTGTGTAGAAACTTAAGGTGGCCACAAAGTCAATAATGTTGACGGGAGATTTAACAAACTGCCACAAATTTGGGGAGACCTGTCCAAGAGGAAGACCGAGTGGTTGGGAAAAACACAAACACACAAACGTTAAGTAAACATTCAACAAAAATGCCAAACTCTCCGGTACTTACTATGAAACGGATGATGACCTCAAAGAAGAACCAAACATTACACACCAATTCCACATAGAAAAATGCCTCGTGTGGCTGGCCAAACGATTGATGCCAGCCGTGTATGTGAGTGTCATCAACACCATTCTGGTTGCCATGACCGCCACCAACACCACCACCAACACCTCCACCGCCATCATCATTATCACCAAGACCGTTCACATCTACAGATTGACGACGGGTTCTTTCACTGGCACGACGACGTCCTTCTGTCTTCTCCAGGCTAAAGGTGGCTATGGGTGTTACAAGACCCGAACTAAAATTACCATTACCACCGGCCGCGCTGCTGGTGTAGTTGATGACCTTGAATGTGGGCTGTAGTAATGTGTGGCGTTGGCTATTATGGGGGGCGGTGGATGCATCCATTGTGGGCGGCGGCATATTACTTGTATGCTGAGGTATGGTCGGTACGCTAGTTGATATTTGTTGTGGTTGGTGTTGGTGTTGTTGGCTATTGGTGGGTGTAAAATCTACGCGAAAACCCGGATGTGTTTTCAGGCAGAAAGATATCACAGAAACGAATATGAAAAACACAGACATACTGGCAACCACCTGCAAGCAGACAAAATTTTTTGAAAATTGTTTCCAGAGTGTCAATACGGCAAACAAAGTAATGCAATAAAAGTTTTTAATAAATATTTCGGCTAGGAAGTAATGACTGAAATTACCCTCCGAAAAAAAAATGGGAAACATGAAAAAAGTTTTGATTGAGTTTTTAAACAATAAATCGCTTTTAAGATAGATGAGCTTTTTTGGGGTGTGTGGCGGATGTTGCTGGTAATGATGCAAGCATAATTTGAGAAGTTTTTATGTTTTGTTTAGGCTATTTGTTTGAAAGTTTGGTAGGATATCATATTTCAAGGGTGGCATGTAACTAATTGAATTAGGGAAATTTTGAAAGGGAAACACATCACTAAAATATGTTTTTATTAGAAAAAATTAGCAATATATGTATGTATTTTTGAAAAATGACAACTAGTGATATTTTTTAACAATATTTTACGTAATTTTAGTTTTTTTCTGAAAAGTAGTATTTTGGTTTCTTCGTGAATAAAAACTTTTCAAGGGAGAAGGTTTAACGTAAATATAATATAAAGGGTCCTTATATTTAAAAGGGTCTGATCTGGGATTTAAAAACTGTTCTAGCCGAAATAAAGCAAGCTAATGCCAAATTGATTGAAATATATGGCAAAGAACCTCACAATAATAAAAATCAGGGAATATTTTTATATAAGGGCTGTACCACAAGCTAGATATTGATAATGACCAAAACATGACCAATACGTAAAAATACTTGAAATCAGAGTATCTCACATGGAATCTATACCAAACAGTAAGGAAAAGTCAAAAGTCGGGAGGGCCGCGTACAAAATACTTTGTACATACTTTTGAGCGCGGCTGAGGGCTGGAAAAATTGCATATTTTCCAGCCGCCATAAAATATCAATTCGGTGATCTTGTGCGCTAACGCATATGATAATGCGTGAGATAATAAAGGTTATGACCAATACGCACAGATATAGATGCGCTCAGTTGAAATGTAAGGCCACTTGACTGAAATGACAAGCAGCCCTGCAATTTTTTCCATTCAATATTAGAATAGATAAGAATAATTGTGTGGCTGCGATTAGGTTAATTTAGATTTTTTTCTGTTAGATTTTTTCTTAAGGGAAAACTAGAATTGAAACTATATCCTAACGAAGCGCCTTTCTACATTGGTCCTTCGGGACGGATTTAGAATTGAATCTACACCCAGGCGAAGCGGTTGTATTCTTTTCTCATCACTTTAAATTGCTTCAGTCGAGCCGAATAGAGAATAGAATTGGCAATCGAAGAGGGAGATTGGACTTTTGTCAAAAAACAGGTCGACAATATGATACCCACCCTACACCACTATGCATATCATACCACAAATTTGATGTAATTGTAGTTGTTTCTATACTGAATTCGGTCGGATGTACCAAAATTCGGGACAGAACAGATTTTGGTGCACAATTAACCCGAAACCGGTTGAAGATATATATGGGAGCTATATCCAAATCTGAAGCGGGCTTGATAAAATTTGGCAAAGGTATTTGTGAGAGACTTTAAGACCAAATCGGATGAAACATATATATGGGAGCTAGAGCTATATCTGACCCGATTTTCTCCAAATTTGCTGTACTTGCCTCTAGACTGAATTCAGTTAGGATGTGCCGTTTAGATTGATATTGATATTCAGGTAGTTTGGACTGATATTGGTCATTTGGTGCAAAATTAATGTCAAATCGGATGAAGATATATATGGGAGCTATATCTAAATTTGAACCGATTCTTACCAATTTCAACAGAGTTCGTCCTTGGACCAAACAAATATTGTTTTGAAAATGTCATCTCATTTGGATAATAAATGAGACCTGTAATTTGTTCACAAGAAAACATGGACGTCCGTCCGTGTATGCATAAATCGACTCAGAAAGTGATTTAATCAAAAGTAACGATGTTTTGTTGGAGAATCTGGCATAAACTCACATAAAGTACGGTTTTAAGTCTAAAATGTGCTTTGAATATTTATGAATTTCTGGCATTTGGTAAGATTTTGACTTTCGATGTCTTCTAGGATCATAGTAGAATGTAATGAAAATATTTTTTTAGAATATTTTGACTTGCTACTATCTTGTTTATGGGGAGTTTTTAACCATAATTTGAAAAAGAGACCCAAAATACCGCTTTTGTGCCAAAGGTGGCCAATTCGAACAAACCTGAACTTATTCTAAAATGTGATACTATTTCCGACATATTTTGCTTTCATTCAATAAAATTTAAAAAAAGTAAAAATTATGGCGTTTGACTTTGTTGCAGTTTTTTTTTTATCTCACCCTGCAGTTATATATTAATTTGGGGTTTTTGGGGATTTTTGAACGATTTTTAATTTGGTCGCGTTTTTCTGATTATTTGTATAAGAGTTTTAAAAAAACGTAAAATATTTAAAAGAATGTTTAATTTTTTTTTTTCAATTTTACTCTTTCATAAAAATTTTGAAGGCCAATATTTTTGAATCGTAAATTTTCAATGTCTACATTTATTTATTTATTTTTATTTTGGGGTCTATTTTTCCAACTTACCTTTGCTCCCGTCGAACTTGATGGTTCATCAAATAAAGCCCATATTTTCGGTTTAATGCGCTGCCAGCAATTTAGGCGGCCCTTGTTGATGGAGTCTTCAAAACCAAATAGGCGGGCCACCTGCTCTTCTGAGGGTTTTTCATTGTCAATATCTAATTTATCCAATATGGCTAAAGTGTTCTGCAAAAATAAACAAACACACAAATCAATAAATATAATTTTAGATTAAACCAGATGGCCAACAAACCTGGGTATCTCTGTGTATACTATAGGTGGACCAGCAACAGGGTTCAACTTGATTCGAATCTAAACCCCAAAACTCTAATTCTTCCTCAAACAATGGACCACAAACATCGGTAGGATAGTGCAGTTTGCCAGTTCTGGAAAAGGAAAAAATATTAAAATTTAAATATAAGGTGTTGAATTTGTTTACGGAACTCTCACCTGTAATAATTTAAAATTTGCGTAAAAACTCCCGGATGCCGATCAAAGAAATATTCATTGAGCACTGGATCATAATTGGCTAAGGCCTCAGTTAGACGTGATAATCTTGTGGCGGGTATTTTCTTTAGCGTTGCTTTATACGTCTCATACCTGCATACGGTGTTGTTGTAATCGTTGTTGTAGTTGTTGAGTAAGTGAGAAAGTCGTAAAAAAAAACAAGAAAAAAAGACATAAAATAAAAATTACGTACAATCTGAATATTTTATTTGCCATTAGTCAAAAAATGTACTGCTAATTCAGCAGAATAGCAAATGAATGGAAACTTCTATGCCGGTGAGGGGAGGAATCGACAGCATTCAGTATCCAAGCAACCATAGAACAATTCCTCCATTTTTTATGCACATGTACATGTGTTCCCTGTTACTTAGGTGTGTATGTGTGTGTGTTTGTTTGAATGGGTATAACTTTCTATTACGGATACGGATGTGATAAGGGGCATACACGAGGCCAATATGGAGGGTTGGGGGGTCAAACAAATAGAATACAAACGGCTTGGAAAATGGGGAAAACATCTTTCCGTTGTTTACATAGACATTTTCATTATTTATGAGCGGAAACTTTGGGTCACTATCACGAATAGCAAAAGATACGTTGCCGATGATGATGATGGCGTTGACGATGTCGACGATAACGTATGCACACAGATGGTATGATATCAGGGATGGGAAGCATATAATATCTTCAAAGTTCACGACACAGATCTATTATAAAAGAGAGACAAGAAAACTTTAATAGAAATTTTTTTCAAAAGGCGATTTATGTGCGACGGAGTGGCTCTTCACAGATAAATGTCATTCGAAAGACCTTCTAGTTTTTTTCCATCTTCGCCCCTGAACTGGGTTTAAAACAAATATTAGGAAAAAGTCAAGGCCGATGTTTAACTGTGGTAAAAATTTGAAGGTCTGCTTTTGTAATCGTTTCTAGTTTTTTTTTCGAGTACTCATCAAAAAGTGTAGATTTTAAATATTTTTTTTAATTTATGTAGTTCTGCCAAACAGATCACAAGATCGCTTGGCAAAACTACTTTAAAAAAAAAAACTTAAAATCGAAACCGATATCGTCGATATTCGTTTGAAATTTCAAAATCAAAAATCGTTCTTGACTGATTAAAAAAATTCGAAAAGTCTAAAATTCATCTTTTTTGGATTAAAAACATTGAACTATACAAAATTAGGAGAATACAGACCAGGCATTTAATATTTTGTTAGATATATGAATATCTTAAATTTAAACCCTTTGTAAAGAGGGGAGTGGTTAACCAAAAGGAGTAGCCGATATTAAATTTTTTCGTACTTGATCAAAGCGTCATAGTAATACTAGGGCCAAATTTAATATCTTTTTCGTCTTCCAAAAACATAAATAATTTTTGAATCTTTTGACTGGTAGTCTGAGTTATCATATATCCTATCTCCACACAGGCTCTAAAAATCACAGAAATATTCAGACGATTAATCGGAGAAGTAGTTTGCATTCTAGGAGATTTACGATTTTTCACTTTTTTGACATTTTGAGGAAAGGTAGCAAAAGGAGCGGATCATCCTTTTCCATTCCATTTTCGGCATTTAGATCGACACACCGCAATTACCAACGAAATCAGAGGTAATTTTTCGTTTATGGTACTCAGTGATTAGTTTAACTCTTTTCCAAAAATTATCAATATAACGGTACCTCCTGATTTTCGATATTTTAAAAGTTTTGTTCATAAGTGGTTTGATTCCTCATCAAATTATTCATTATAGTTATATCCCCGATATAATAGAAGATTAACCTCCAAATATTGATCCGAATTAGTTTTAATTTTTTATTTCTTGTTCTCAATGAATAGTTCTCCTGGCAAAAAATATTCAATATTGGTCCACTTTTTGATAAAGCCCCTCAAATTAGTAGTACCTCCTTACTTCGGATATTTTGAGGGTTTTGGCACCAATTTGTATTCTTGGGTATGGATTAACTCCCAATCCAAGCACATCCCAATTTTCGGTATTTGGAAGGTTTCAGCCCCGAATTTCTGTTATAATTAAATATTCGTGAAACTAGTCCGAGTTTAGTCATTACTCGTTGGTTTTATGCGGTAGAGCTCTCCAGCACAATTTGACAGGGAGCCAAATCGATTTGCTTGTTTTCACTGGGGAGTTAAATTTGCTCGCGAGAGGAATTGCTTGAATAGTGGGAGTTTTATACGGAGTTTTTCTTCGCTTTTTTTTCTTGTGGGAGCGCTCCCGTGTCACTCTTGTTAGAAAAATTAGAGTGGGAGCTGAATAGCTTGAAAAAGAGTGAAAATTTGCTCTGAGAGTGAATTCGAGTGGAAATAATATTTTGTTTCCTGACTTGTGTTTGCTTATGTGTGATTGCTGTGAACTAAGGTGGAAGGGGTTACCGTGGACAAAATCAAAAAAAAAAAAAAAAAAAAAAAAAAGTATGGCCGGTCGGCAAGAATAGAATTAGATCGTTTTCGAGCGAATTTTGCTCCTACTCTGAAACGAGCAAAGCATACTAGCCCTTATTAGAGCGAAACTGAAAAATAGAGTTTACTCTCTTTGTTCTTCCTACTCCCAGGGACTCCCATTTGACTTCGAACGAGTTTTCGGAGCTCTGATTGCGAGTTATCTGTACTTAGATTTTCTCTTTGAAAAAAAGAAAAATATTCAATATACAGGTCCACATGGCCTTTCTTCCAAATGTTAGGGATTTGAGGACAGCCAATTTGGTAATAAGTCAAGTTTGTCAGGATTTCCAATGGAAATCCTTTAAAAGCTTTAAAAGATAGCTTTTAAAAGGGTTTCTTTTCATTGGATCTATAAGAAGCATTCTATAGATAGAAAGTCCTCTCAAAAAGTGTGAAGACTTTTTAAGGGCTTTTTTACGCTGAAAAACCTTCCAATAATTTTTAGAAAAGTTTTTGTTTTGTTCTTGTTTTTTAAGGAAAGACTTTTGGAAGGGGGATTTTCTTATCCTACGAAAATCCTTTAAAAGCTTTAAAATATAGCTTTTAAAAGGGATTATTTTCATTGGATCTATAAGAAGCTCCCACAAAAGTGTGAAGACATTTTAGAGGCTTTTTAACGCTGAAAGACCTTCCTGAAGTTCTTAGAAAGATGAGCTTTCTTTTTGGTTTTTTAAGGGAAGATTTGGAAGAGGGTTTTACTTATCCTATGGAAATCCTGTAGAAGCTTTAAAATAGACGGGATTTTTTCATTGGATCTATAAGAAGCCTTTTATAGATAGAAAGTCCCCTCAAAAGTGAAAACTTTATAACGCTGAAAGACCTTCCAGAAGTTATTAGAAAGATGAACTTTCTTCTTTGTTTTTTTAAAGGAAAGACTTTTGGAGGATGGTTTTACTTATATGGTACTATAGGAGAACTTTTAACGGTTCTAATATCCTAAAAGACCTTTCAGAAGGTCTCCAATTATAGAAACCCTTCCATCTAGAAATAATAGATAACAAGAAATTATTGACAAAATATTATTTTAAAACAGTTTCTTTAGAAGTGGTTTATGCAAAGAATTTCCATCGATAGAATATATTTCAAAACTTATTCTACATATAAAGGACGTTCAAAGGGGTATTATTTAAAAAGAAATTCTAAAAACAAACGTCGAAGAACCTAATATCCTTACAAAGTTTTCCACAATTGAAACGTGTTGCTAAAGTTCCGGAAAATGTCATTTTTAACCTATTTTGATACGACGAAGTATTTCTTTTGCAAATCAAAATATCCATCCCTGATCTGCATACATTTCACCACTCAGGCACACACACACACACGAATAATGAACGTATACGCGATATGGTCACAGCAAAAACACACATAAAAAGACACACAACCGAAAAGGCACATCCATCCCTACACTGCAAACAAAATTAAGTTTATTTAAATAATTTTCGCACGTTCACAGTTGTGTCTTTTTTCGCTGGCAAAGATGGCATGTGTGTTGGTCTCCAGCTGGACCAGAGACCGGCAGCTTCTTAATTGGAATAATATTTGCTATAAATAAAAAATGACTTTAAATGCTTTCAAGGATCTTGTTGAGAATTCTGTGTCAGAAACATCAATAAATAAAAAGATAAGTTGTGAAAGCGTAGAACACCAAACAAAAACAAAAGAAGCAAAGTGAAAAACTAACTTGTGTTGTTGTTGCTGTTGTTGTTTCTCTTTGGCAGTTGTGCTTGGGGCAATATAATGCAAATGTTTAAATAAAATTTATGAATTCTTAAATTGAATTATGACCAGTCCAATGAAAAATAAAGTAGAAATAACAGCAACAAAAACAAAAGATATGATGAGGAGATGCAAAACGCCAACAGCACAACTTCGCATAAACAAATTTCGAATAGAAAATTTGCGACAAACAAAAACAAAAAATGTTGACTCGTAAAATATGCAAAAATAAAAACTTTTTTTCTCCTCTGAAAATTTTCAAAACTGTATATCTAAATTTTTAATTTATTTATTTTTATGATATCACAAAAGCAAAACCGAGCAACAACAACAGCAAGACCAACCGATTTGATTGCCATTAAATATGGCGAAATGTGTTGTGAACAAACAAACACATACACACACACACTCACACACAAATGGTTTAAGGGTTGTTCAAATAATGCTCCAAATTCCAAATATGTTTATTATAATTTGTTTATAGCCCAGAGGTGAATAGCTGCTGACCGTTTCGCTTAATGATGCATATCATACATAATATGGCCACCACTCTCCGCTGCTGCTGCTGCTTCGTGCCATATTGTCCATATTGAATTAGATATGGGAAAATTCCAATGACATAAACCCAGCTAAGGGTAGGGGGACCACCGATGACCATAATGGCATGTCCTATGGCAATGGGTTTTCATTTAATATTGGTTTTTAGAAATTGGCAAAACCTTTTGTTTCGTTTGGGTATCCAACTAATGTCAGGAGAATATTTTTCGTTGAAATTAAGTTCTATTAATGAACATAAAACCACAATAAGTTGCCCTATGTCACCATAATTGAACTTGATGGAAAATAATTCAATTCGCAGAAAAATAGAACAAAGTTCGTTAGCTAAGTATCGCCCCTACCACGGGAATAGAACAAAATTTCATGCATAAAGGAGGCAACAAAAACATATAAAAGGAAGGTTTACGTACTGGTCAGAATAAGTCGAAAATAAGAGAACACATTAAAGTAATAATTGTCAATCTTCGTCGTTACAAAACATTGGAATTCGACGTTCGTTGCGGGGCTTGGAGATAGATTTTGTACATGGGATATTGGGCTAATAATATCTAAGTCTCAGAATATGACCTTTATACCAGCTCACATTAAACTAATCGAATACGACCGTTATTTTGGAGACTGTTTTTAAAGTTTTCAATGTGTTCTAAATCGATATGTATCAAATCGATATGTATAACTATTATGATTTACATTATTTGAAAATCTACGTCCATAAAACGTATATTTAATAAAAATTGTTTATACCCTACAACACAATGTGTTGGGGTATAAAAAGTTTGAGTAGGCAAAACATTATATAACACCTCGAAATATTGGACACTACACAAGGTGAGATGAAAAACTGCAACAAAGTCAAACGCCATAATTTTCACATTTTTCTTTTTAATTTTATTGAGTGAAAGCAAAAAATGTCGGATATAGCATCAAATTTTAGAATAAGATTAAATTTGGAATTGGTCACCTTTGTCACGAATTATGGCCTTCAAACGGCCAATGAAACCGTCACACGCTGCCAGAATGTTGCTCCGCGGAATTTTGCCCATTCCCGGTGAAGCGCTTGCTTGAGGTGATCGACACTTTGGTATTTTTTAGTACAAACCTTGCTTTCTAAAATACTCCAGACACAATAATCGAGTGGATTTATATCCAGGGATTTTGGTGGCCATTGTGCGCTGGAAATAAAGCGAGGAACCTCATTTTGTAACCATTCTTGGAAGGCGCTTGCTGAGTGCGATGGTGCTGAGTCCTGTTGGAATGTCCAAGGTCTGCGGGCAAAATGGTTGCGTGCCAAGGCTATAATACACCCTCCAGAATATTTTCGCGATAATATTCGGCATTTATTCTGATGCCACGGTCGATTAATACGAACGGAGAGCGACCATCAGCTGTTATAACGGCCCACACTATCATCATGGCTGGCGCTTGAGTTCTGGTGGCCAACTGGAGGTGCAGATTTTCAGCTGACCTCTTTGGCAAGTAAACACAAACTGCTGGACAACGAATGTTTTCTCATCGGAGAAAACCAAATTCGCAGTTTACCACTTTCGGCCAAGCCAAAGCACTATTTACCTCTTTTCAGTCCATTTTCTTTCTGCTGCGGTGTAAGTTCTTGCACTTTTTGGAATTTCAATGGCTTTACCCCGAGCTCATTTTTCAATATTTGACGAATGGAATATTGTGATATGTTCAGTTCACGAGCCATTTTTCGGCCACTGCGAAGCGGGATTCGATAAAGTCGCTTCTTTATTTTTCTAACCATTTCTGCTGATGTTGCTGTTTTCTTCCGTCCACTTCCTTGACGTCGGGCTACGCTACCAGTATCACGGTAACGGCACAAGACCAAAGATTTATTCACATTTAAAAATACTGGAGTTTTCTATCGATAGTCCCTTGTGGTTTTCCAGGTAAATATAAAGAAATCACACTATCACGCTTGAATTCCATCACGAATAACTTTTTTTCTGGAAAATTCCCACCAAAATGATTTCGTACGCTTTTAAACAATATAATGAGCTGTCACTGGAATAAGTTTAACAGCTGTCGGATGAGTGGCTTAGAAATGACAGCAGTCTGAAGTTGGTTGCAATTTTTTTTTATCTCACCGATATTTTGAGGATTTCGGTTCCAATAACAAAAAAAAAAACAAATAAGCTGTTAAAAGATATTTAATACGGTTTTTTTGAGAGCATTTAAAGTCTTTGCCAAAAATATTCAATATTTTGGTATCACCCACATAGGACAATAACTCATAATTTTCGGTATTTTGGTGATTTAAATTTTCTAGAAAAAAATTTGTGGGTAGATTAACTCTTCCCAAAGAAAATGCAATATGGAAATTTCTAAAGTCTGACATTCGGAAAAGAATTTAATGACATGTTTATTGTAACGATGTCTACTATCGAATTCCATCGGTGGAAATCGAAAACGAGATTTTTTGTCATTTGTCATTAAAGTAAAATTTGTTTAATATATATGGTTTTAAGGTATGATTTAGACTCTAGCCGTCTTCTAGGACCTATAGTAGAATTGCATAACAAATAATTTTGTAAAAAATGTTGACTTGCTATGAACCTGTTTAAAGGAATTTTTGGATAATATTTAAAAAATCCAAAAATACCCCTTTGCTGACTCATTTGAAAATATTCCTCGTATTTATATCTGTAATATTTCCGAAGACACTATACATCTAAAACATAAGGATTCCGAGGAATCTTAATCCGAAATTTTCCAAAAGTATGGACGATGAGAGGACTTGCTCCCTTTAATTTTGTTACTTTTCGATGTAAACTTTCAAAACGCCTATACAGGTGTCTGAATTTTTTAGCTCTACTTTCATAATCTACTGGATTTCTCAGCAGTCGTTTTATACGTTGCAGAGTGTTGTCGAATCCAAGAGCTGGTGGCAAAAATTATGATTTTTAAAGGAAATTCGAACCAAATTACAAGCATCTAAAAATCAAACTCTTAACACGGCTCTACTCCTTAGGATATCAGTAGATACAATTTGGTGGTTAAGACCTCTGGTTATACATTGGGTAAATAAGGCTGTGGTCTTGTCTTTTGTTAGGGCTTGCGCTCTTCGTTCACAAACTCAATCCTCATTACCAGTTATTGTGATTTCGATATTCCTGGCCACAACCCCTATTTTTAATTCTAATCAATTTCTAATATATTAATGGAATTCAATGGCAAACATATTTAAATTACGGTAGCCAAAAATTAGGTCAAAGTTCTTCTAGGTGTCAGCGTGACATGTTCGAGAATTCAAATATTTATTGTTAATTTAGAAAAAGTTTTCTTTTTGTATGTGTTCTATAAAGCTTATGATCTTATACCCATTTAGCATAAAAATGTCAATATAACTTTAAACCAAATTATTGCAAAATACATTTTCAAATGCTTGTTCCTGGAAAACCATAGACATTTTCACACAGTCATGGTTGGTTTAATTTTTTGAAAAAGTGTGTATATACACACTTTTTAAATAATAAACCAACCATAACTAAGTGAAAACGGTCTATGGTCTATTCCATAGATGTTTTGCCTTTTTGATCTTTAATAATAATTGGCCAACATGGCTCGTCGTTTAAATGGCCATGTCAATTGTTTTGTTTGACAATTTTAATCGCAACAGGGATTCTGCGGAAGTGAAATGTTTTGACATGACATGCCCTTTGTTTGTCTATTCTGACTTTATAAGTGTTTATTAAATGTCAATGCCATTGCAAAATAACAATCACAAGCTTTTGAAATAAATAAAAAAAAATACAAAAGAATACAAATGAGAATTGTCTTTTTTCTGTGAGGCAGGAAGGAAAATTTATTCTTTCCAGGAAAATATTCGTATTTTAGATAAAAGAGAAAAAATATAATTTAATAAGGGAATAGTATATTAAATTAAAGCATATGTCAATGAAGAAAATATTCAACTTAATTTTTTTAAAATTGGCATATTTAATACTACGAGGCTATACATAGTATATCGAAATTGCTCCACATGGATTTTATGACAGTATTTTTTTGTAAAAGAAACTTTGAGGTTGATTTTTTAAAAATATTTCTTAAAATAAAATAAAGGGCACGTGGATTTTTTAAAAAATATTTTTTTAAGAAGTAACTGTGACGTCGACTTTTTAAAAATATTTTTCCATTAAGAAACTCTGAGTGGATTTTTTAAAAATATTCTTTGAAGAAGTAACTGTGACGTGGATTTTTTTTAAAATATTTGTTCAAGAAGTAACTGTGACTTGTGTTTTTTTAAATATAAAAATATTCCAGGATTATGGACTGCAACCTTCTTAAACATATGGGTCGTTATGGAATAAAATTAAATTGCTTCGAAAACTATATTAATAAGTTAAAAGTATCAGTCGGTTTTGCTGACAGATGTATACCCTCAACCAATGTTCATTTAATTGAATATATTTCGACTTCTGTTATGATTTATCAAACGATTGAACTTCTATGGACTAGTTTCCAGGGCCAGTATTGTCCATTTCATATCGGACCTAAATAAATACGATATAAATATTGAGACGGTATAAATATTGGTTACTTCCTTCACTTCATATGAAATATGTGATAATTTTTAAAAAATATTGAAATATGCGTGAGGTACGAGATATAGTGGACCGAGGTATTCCATTTTCACACTTCACCTAATACAGATAAAAATATGTGTATGTGCAAAATTACAAGATAAAACATTTATTATTTATCTCAGGTTTCTAGTAGAGAGAAATATTTAGATACAGCAAATTGTAAAGAATCGCTGACTGGTTTCGCAAGTTGTGACAGATAAAGGTATTGAAAATTTTGACCCTTTGTGGGTATGGTTCCTGAAGGGGTTCGCAATATATATCATCTTCACAATAGATCTTTTGTTAACAAAAATATTTAATTGTCTAATTTTCGGTGTCTTGAAGATTTTAGCCCAATTGTTAACCAATAAAGGTGTAAATATGACATTCCTGTATCTGAAAACAGCATTTTGAAGGTGTAATTAGGGTAATCCTTGCTAAAAAATATTCTATGCAGTCCCACTTTTTATTATAGTCCCCATATAACGATGTCTTCTGATTTTCTATATTTTAATGGTATTCAACGCAATTTCCATCCAAATCAGCTGTTATTTGATATTTCGTTTTCTAAGTGGGTAGTCTAGGTCCTCATCAAAAAAATTCACCGCAAGTCCACTTTTGGGTATAGCCCCCATATAATGGTGGCACATTCGGTATTTTGAGAATTCCGGCCACAAGTCCCAAGAGAGCATTTTAACTCCTTAAAATAAATCAATACAGGTCCCATTATGGTATAGCCCCAATATGACAGTAACTCACACTTGTCGGTATTTCGGGGATTTAAGTCCCAATTTTGGAGCAAGGTATTCCATTTTCACCCTTCATCTAATACAGATAAAAATACTTGTATGGGCCGAACATTTATCTTCAATTTTATACGAATTCACAAAAAATTTCAAAATTTCAAAATTTTACCCTTTGTTGGGGAGGTACCAGAAGGAGTGGACCGATATTTTCCATTTTCTCACCTGACCTAGCAATAAGGCAAATATTAATAGTTGGAGCAAGATCGGATTATCGTTTCTCTTTCTGTGCAGAATATATAATTTTGAATAATGTAGGGGAGGTACCAGAAGCAGTGGGCCGATATATTCCATTTTAACGCCAGACCTTTGGTTAATAAAAATATGGATTAATAAAAATATTGAGATTTGTTAAATCTGAAGACAATCGGACTCTTACATCACATTTTATAATAGTTATAATTACTCCAAATTTTGACCCTTTGTGGGGGAGATACTGATGGAATGGCCTAGCATTGATGCAAATATTAGGATTTGCAAAGTCGGAGCAAAATCGGATTATCCTTTCTCTATCTGTGCAGTAAATTATTTTCTTTGAAAATGTCGGCCTTTTGTAGGAGAGGTACCAGAAGGAGTGGACCGATATTGCCAATCTGTACCAAATCGGATACTCCCTTTGAGAGCTATCGTGCGCATCAGCCAGCCAAACCGATGGATGGACATTGCTAGATCGACGCCAACTGTCCTAAAATGGATTTGGTCCAAAGAGACCACCACGTTCGGCCAAGTGAAGCAACTCTTTAGCTCTTTTGAGTCAACTTTCTTTCAGTTGCAGTGTAAGTTTTGCACTTTTTGGAATTTCAATGGCTTTACCCCGAGCTAATTTTTTAATATTTTCCTAATGGAAAATTGCGATATGTTCAGCTCAGAGCCATTTTTCGGCCACTGCGACGCGGGTTTCGATCAAGTCGCTTCTTTACTTTTCGAACCATTTCTGCCCATGTTGCTGTTTTCTTCCGTTCACATCCTTGACGTCGGGCTACGCTACCAGTATCACGGTAACGTGCGATTGTACAAGACACAAAAGATTTATTCACATTTAAATGCTGGAGTGCTCTAATGATAGCTACTTGTGTTTTACCAGCCAAATATAAAGAAATCACACTATCACGCTTGAATTCCATCACAAAGAACTTTTTTTCTGGAAAATTCTCACCAAAATTCTTTTCTACACTTGTAAACCATCTAATGAGCTGTCACTGGAATAATTTTAAAAGCTTTCGGACTAGTGGCTTAGAAATGACAGCACACTGAAGTTGGTTGCAGTTTTTTCATCTCACCCTGTATACCCTCTCTAACCACATGGCTGAATATATAAGAGAAGATATATACCCTCTTTAGCCATATGACTGAGGGTATAAACAAATATGTTAGGATTTGAAAATTGTGGACTGAAAGGTCCTGGGTTAAAACCACGCTCTACTTCTTGAAGAACTATGTTTAGCATACTTGTTTGATATAGTCCTTACGAAATATTCAATAATATATATGAGAGATTCACATATTTTTTAGGAAGAATCCCAATGACCCTATAAAAGTCGTTATATCTCACTCCGCCCCTACTTTTCAGTTGGATCCTATCAACCTACTAAGTCTCCAAAAAGTGTCAAAATGTTGCTGTTACATTAATTTAATTTTAAAAGAAGGAATTCCGCTATTCCCTGACCAAGAAAATCCCATTCTCATTTTATATATTGAATTTTTGCTAAGTGTACTATCCAAAGTCCCATGTTCATTTACTTAAAATATCTGCACAACGGATGCATAACCAATGTGAACCGAACGGATGTTTGCGGACATGCAATGAATGTATCTAAAAATTCATTGCCCGGCAACAGCAACAAAAAAGTTTATTTTAAAATTGGGTTCTTATTTGTTGTTGACGTTATTCCACTGGAATTATTCAATGATGCTAATACGCCCCAGTGGCGGCAGCAGCATTAGCAGCAACAGCATGGAGCAGGAGGAGGAGAAAGGCCATAAAAACCAACTTTTGCTAAATACATCTGCAGCAATAAAATCAAACCAAAGGGGGATTTACATTGATGGCCAATAATAAATCGATTCTCTCTCCGACTCGCTTGCTCGTTGGCTTGCTAATTTAATTAAGTCCACAACACATTTATTGACAATCAGCGAAAGGGAGACACACCAATGAAAAAAACGAGCAGAGAATCGGATAAAACCGGCATTTAAAATATTAAGATTGCTTGTCAGCGTGGTATTTACTGGCGACGGCAATCATAAAAACAGCATCATATTCTCGCTTAATAAAAAACAAAACTGTTAAAAATTATTGGATTACATTGGTGTGAATGTGTGTGTGTGTCGCGGTGTGGTTGTGTGGCACATTAAAATGTGTGTAGCTTTAAAGGGCTTATTTTTATCAATTCCACCAAAAAAAAAAAAAAGAAGCGGCAGCGGAAGATCAAGTGAAATACAAACGTGTTAAAATTCACACATAAAGGGGACAGTTTGTCTGTCTGACTGCCGGTACGTGTGTGTGAGGGTTTTTACGTGCTGAAACCCATAAAATTTTATCGCTTATCAAGGAACCGCGAGACTTCGTTGTCTCTGTCGTCTTTAAATCGTCTTTGCAAAGATAAGGCCAACACGGCGTATACTTAATGTGAATACATTTCTCCTTATGCCTCACTGGCTGCCAGCGCACATATTTTCCCACACGAAACATATTTAAACATTTAACAGGCTTACATTTCTTCAACCATTTCCTTTTAAAGCGCACAAGAAATTATCACACACACACCCACTCATACTTGAACATTTCCACACATACACATATACCCATTTGGCCTGTATCTTGTTTCCTTCCTCCCATTTCCATATTCCTGTATATGACTTCAGGATTAAAGACATTATTTTGTCGTTTATATTTAAATCAACATTTGAGGGCTCAACTCAACAACAAATAAATCATAGATTTAGTTTAAATAGCCACAGTATTGCTGTTGATGTTGTTGCTGCTGCTGGGGAATTTAAACTAATCTCTTTAGTTTCAATCAAGCGCATCATCATGAGGCTGTCATATATTTTGTTGGCAATTTACCACATAACCTTTGTTAAGCCAGGAAAAAAAAAATCCCTACCTCAACGATAATCTTTTGCCAACGTACCAACACACATTTATAAATACAAACGCACACACACACACTCATGTGAACGTGTAAGTAAATTGTTTTTTTTTTTTTTTTTTGTTTTTGTCAAAATTTTTATGGTCCCTTTGTTGTCACATAACCTTATATTACACATGGCAACATTTTGGACAGAGGAATGGTATTGGGAGCAAAGAAATTCTTTTCAAAGTTGCAGCAAAGGAAAACAATTTGACTTTTTTTGGGGGGAGGAAGTCAATTGAAGTGGGGGAGGGTGTGATATAAGAGGGCAATTAGGTCTCATTAGAAAAATAATAACACGCCATAAAACAAAGGTAGTTATTTGAGAAAATTAAAAAAGAAAATCGTTTTTCATGAGTGAGAAAGTAAGGAAGTAGAAAATACCTGCATCGGATTCTGAAGGTTTGGGTCCGGAGGTGACCTAAAAAAAGGTTTTTGTAAATGTTTCCGTTAAGATTAAAGAATGGTGTCAAAGGTGGTCTGAAAGGTCCTTGAGTTAATAAAAATATTCAGACCTTTAAGGACAAGACCGAAATTGTGAAGATTTGTTTCAAGTGCTTTAATGTCTCTGATAATAGAGTCATCAAACATAATTTTCCAACACCTTTCGGTCTTTAATCTCGGAATTCTTAACTTATTGTCAAGTACACTTCAGTCTATACCGGTAGGTATTCTTAATTATTTTTCTCTATCAGTACAGACTAAAGTAAGCTAGAAAATACAGCGTGAGATAAAAAAAACTGCAACAAAGTCAAACGGCATAATTTTTACATTTCGCAGATATCATCACAGATATCATCATCACAACAGATCCTGCGCTAGCAATAATATTTGGATGTATGAAATTTGAAGAGAGTTGAATGATTATTTCGCGTTCTTTAAACGTTTTGTATTTTTAAAATCTTGAACCCTATGCCAGAACAAATGGACCGATCTTTACCATCTTCATAACAGATCTTGTGTTGATAAAAATATTGAAATGTAGGAAGTCTGGATGGAATCGAATGTTAATTTCCCATTTTATGAGCTTCATGGATATTAAAAATTTCGACGCTTTGTGTGAGAGATACCAGAAGGAGTGGACCGATATATTCCATCTTTATACCAGACCTTGGGTTAATAAAAATATTGTGATGTGAGAAATATAAAGAGAACCGGATGCTTATTTCAGATTTTATGATCGTTTTGGTTATTGAAAACTTTGGTCCTTTGTGGGGAGGTACCAGAAGGAATGCTCGAATCTCTACCATCTTTATAACAGATTTTGTGTTTATAGAAATATTGAGATGTACCAAATCTGAATGCAATCGGATGCTAACTTCGTGTTTTATGAGCTTCATGGTTACTCAAAATTATAACCCTTTGTGTGAGAGGTACCAGAAGGAGTGAACCAATATATTCCATCTTAACACCAGACCTTGGGTTATTGTAAATATTTGGATGTGTGAAATTTGAAGACAATCGGACTCTGACATCACATTTTATAAGAGTGGTAATTATTCAAAATTTTAACCCTTTGTGGGGGAGATACCAGACGGAGTGGAGCGATATATTCCATCTTAACACCAGACCTTGTGTTATTAAAAATGTTGGGATGTATGTAATTTGAGGACAATCGGACTCTTATATCACATTTTTTAAGAGTTATAATTATTTAATATGTTGAACCTTTGTGGGAGAGGTACTTGATAGAGTGAACCGAAATTGTAAATTTTTTCACCTGAAATAGAACTGATGCGAATATTAGGATTTGCAATGATGGAGCAAAATTGGATCATCTTTTTTCTTTCTGTGCAGTAAATTGTTTTCTTTAAAAAAAATTGACATTTTATGGGGGAGGTACCAGAAGGAGTGAACCGATATTGCTCATCTCCGAGCTCGATCTAAGTTTGGTAATAATATTACAATGCACCAAGTTTGGATCAAATTAAATACTTCTTTGGAGAGTTATCGTGCGCACCAGCCAGACGGACGGAAGGACGCTAGATCGACTCAAAGTGTCCTGAAATGAATTTGGTCCAAAGAGACCTTGGGTCTAAAACCGTTATTTCGGCACATTTTGGCCGTATCAAATGATATATACAAACTATAGAAAATCTTACAAACATGATCTGAAAGGATATGGGTCTGGAAAAATAGTTATAGATCCTCATGAATAAGGTTAAAAAATATGTTTCAAATAGATGAAAGCTATTTAAACAATTCGTTGAATAATTCAACCAATTTAATCCAATTTAAGAATATAAGCTAAAAGGTCTTAGAAAAATGTGTTTCAAAACCTTTAGAATAATGAGATAAAGGATTTTAAGAAATTTGCTCAGAAACTTCAAAAAATGTAATTAACAAATATTTCAAGAAAATCTAAAGAAATCCTAAGAATATAAGCTATAAGGTCTCTGGAAAAATGTGTTTAAAAACCTTAAGAATAATGGCACAATGCATTTTAAAGATTGTGCTCATAAACTTCAAAAAGATGTACTTAAAAAATATTCCACGAAAATCTATAAAATGTCCAAGAGGTATGTGCCGAAATGGACTTGAAAAATATATTCAAAAAACGCCAAGAATTCAGAATTTTTTGAAATTTCGTGTATAGAAATATTTTTAATAATTTTATAAATTTTTCAAGGACTATTTAAGATATTTCATTAAAAAATTTTTAAGGATTACCAGTACCTTTTACTTTATTCAAATATAATTGAAATAAATTCTAAGTACCTCATGAATATGAGTTAAAATATTCATGAAGCAGAAATTTAGAAACCAATGAATTTATAATCAATGAGAAATCAATGTCCTTAGGAATATATATCAAATTTTTTCAAGCATAGTTTTTACATATCTAGAAGAGATTTATATGCGTTCTTTAAAATCAATATTTTTTAAAAATCCCTGACTTTCCACCAATTATCAGCAATATAAATAAATCTACTCATTTTCAAAAGAAACTCTACAAAATTTAATTGAATATCAATTTACACTCCATCTAATGAGGAATAATAACACCAAAAGTTTCTCTTGCGCATTAATGTGTTATTAAAATAATTAAATTATTTTCATTTTCATAGGCTAAATATATATATATTTCACAATTAATATTCATTTAAAGGAGGAAATTCCATTAAACATAACCTATATCAATTTCATGGTATGTATGGCTTGGCTTGGCATATCATTTGCCATTTTCCACCTCTACCACCAACACCACCCGGGCGTATGATGATTATTCTATTCAAATGCCAACACAAAAATATTAATTATACGCACTGGAGACGAGAGAACAAAGGAAATGTGATTTTCAGCATTAATCATAACATATACGAAAGGTACATCCACAACACAAGACATGCAGACATACATACGTACAGATACATTCCGGCAGACATATCACACAGAACATGACAGATGATTATTCATTTATTTTCTCAGAAAATGGAGGTGTCTACACAAAAACACAATTTTCATGTTGTCTTCGAAAAAGCTCCGTAACCGAACATGAGCAGGAATTGTTGAGGATTTAAGTGGAAATGCAAGAAGAAAAAAAGTCGTGTAGCACTGTGTGTGTGTGTGTGTGTGAGAGTCTGTGTGTGTGTGCGTTCCTTGAAAGAACATGCCACCTAGCTAGCTATGTTTATGTACATACATATATTTATACACAGGTGTATTCTATCATCTATGTTTATTTGTGTGTCAGTATTTAACCTTACGGGAGAGCTGGGAGCGAGTGGGGATGGGGAACGTGCAAGAGATTTTAAATATGGCCACAGGTGTCTTGAATAATTTAGCCCTACTAAAAGCAGACTTAAAGAAACATAACGAAGGTTTTTATTATGCCCAAAATGTTTGAGATTTATTATTATTTGCAGCTAGAAATACAGATAGCATATCAAATGCTGCAGAGCAAAAACATGAAACGAAACCGCCCAGAAGAAGAAGAAGACGACGACGAGAAGCAGTAACAAATTGAATTGTTAAAATCCCCTCACCCAACAACAAAGTATAGGTATTGATTTCTCACAGGCAAAAGGTGAAAGCAAATCATATTTTAAGGCGTATTCTGTGAATGGTGGAGGGCATTTTACGAATAACTGGTGATTAAGAGGGCAAGCAACTGTAAAGGAATTACTGAAACAGACAGAAACATATTTTAAATTTTATTTCCATAATCTCATAATAAAAGATTTCCAAATAACTTTTAAACTTTATAACTTTATTTAAAAAGGAATTTTCGATGGTTTGGTTTTTATTGGGAATTTAAAAAATAAAATGAAAAGGAAAACGGTATTTAAACCAGGAAAATCTGCTTAAATTGGTGACCAACATATATCCTAATGTTGAAAACGGGAAGTTAATTTAATTTAAACAAGAGGAAACCTGAGAAGATGAAGGATAGCATACATCGAAAAAAATAAATAAAAAAAATAGTCTTACATAAGAGCATAAAGATTCATCATGTCTTCATGTGGACAAAATCGAAAGTTTTGACCTGAAAGTCTTAAGGCACGCTTACACATTATGTTAAAGTCATATGTAAAGTGAGCTTTTCCTCAACTGTCTGTAGCATACTTTTAGCCGCTCCCCAGAATTTTCTAACC